ATATATATGTATACGAGCAAATATAAAAATGATTGAAAATTGCAAAGAAAACAATTATAATTATTATTATGAATTCTGAATTAATAGAAGAACAATGTTTATTATCAAAATACTAACTGACTTAAGAGTTTTTAAGCATTATAAGAGATTATAAAAATAACATCTTTGCTTCTGAATAAATTTTTCAGAAAGTTGTATCAAGCTTTATTAGTTAATTGAGAAATCATAATGACAAAGAAAAAGTTATAAATACTTTGAGTCTTATTGTCCAAGATAATCAATTTCTTGAAGAATTTAAGAATAAGTATAAAAAAGATGAACCTAATTTTTTTATAAAATGGTGGAATAAGAGTGATTAATAAAAGGAAGATTAGAGAATCGAGAAGATTCATTAATTTTATCTTAAATTGAACACTAAAAGATTAAATATTCATATAAATTGGTAAGAATTAGCTAATTTATTTGTTGGACAAGATTTTAAAGACTCTTTTCCTCTGCAAATTCCTTTAGATACACAGAAAGAAGTTTTAATGAAGCTTCGACATCATATCTTCAAAATTCTAGATTTAATAAAATTATGTAGAAAAAAAAATTCCTCGTTTTAATTAAATTCGTTGATTTTAAACAATTTAATATTTTTTTTCTTTCTACCAAATGAATTAGAGATAACTGAATACGAAAAAGAAGGATTATATTAAATTTTAGGAGAAATTTTGTGTGATTGTTGGCTTCATTTTCATTATCATTGTTAAGAATTGGAAAAGCTTAATAAATAATTTGAACTTGAAAAACTTAAAGAAATTAACTAATTATTATTGAATAATTCTGATGAATTAGAGAAATCATAACAATTATACAGTTCTATATAAAATGTAGTATAATAATTATTAAGCTAACATAATTACACTAATAGAGAGATTGATAATTTGATAAACAAATTACTGCCAATTGAATTTGAACTTTAAATTATATTCTATAAAATGTGCTTTTATTGTTGTTTAAAATTCAATGCATATTACAAAAAAAAAATGGCCTAACAGAATAACAACTAAAAAAATGACTAAAAGAATAACAAAAAAAAATTGGAATTGCTTGACTTATACATTTATTCGAAAAGATAAAACATTTAAGAATAAAAGTTATAAGATAAATTTTAATCTTATGAAAATTAATAAATAGATATTTAAACTAAATTACGACAATTGACATATCATTCGATTGAAGAATTGATTTAATCCATAATTGAAGAAAATTTTCATAATTTAAATACAAAGTAGCATATAGTAAACCTGATTTCAAAAGACATATGGAAAGCGAGAATATAGAATTTGCTAACAAATATACCTCAAGAGAGAAAAAGACATGTAGCATTTCATTTAATAAAATTAATAAGGTAAGACAGTTTAATTAATGTTGCTATATAATTAAAGGAATTAAAATAACAATTAACCTTCTCAATTTAAGAAATTGAAATTATGATAAGAATTTTAATAGAAAATAAAAATTATGACTTTTCTAAATATGAAACTTTGATTTCTGCATATAAGTAGGATTACGATATTAATATGTTAAACATATTTCTTTACGATGTCAATTTAGGTTTAGAACAATAAATTTAAATATTGCAATCTTTCTCAGAATAATAATGGTTCTAACTTAAATAAAGCTCAATTTCAATGACGATTACGAAGAGTTTAATTGAAAAATACTTGCAATAGTAATCTAACTTGTATAGTTCATTGTTTTCTCAATTGAAAAGATTATTCTCTTCCAATTTTGTGCTTGAATAACCTGATTCAAAGGTTAAACTGTTCTTTTAATTTTTTAGATGTTTAGAGGATATCCAAATACATGAATTAATTAAAGAAACTACAGCTCGCACAACTTTATATAACAAATTTAATTAAACAATACAGATTTTATATTAAATTTTTAAATCCTTATCAACATAATACGAAAAATAACTTTTAAGGGAGATTTTTGAAGAAAACTTACAATTTCCATATATCTATTGTTTTAACTAATTCCTTAAACTATTTGAGGTTAATTTAAGCTAATAATAAATAGAATTAATCTTCGAATTAATTTACTATTGGAAAACAAAGTCATTAGAAAATTTATAATTGAAAGCCGAAAAATTTTATAAGTAAAATGAAGAATTGTATAAAAATACATTTTAATAAATAAACTATTTTTATACTGATGAATTACATCCTTTAAAATTAGACGAATAAATTAAGGACATTTATCCCCGTTCACTAGAGATTTCATTAGAAAAATTTAATATTTCTTTGACATTGTTAAATGAGAAAGAATAAAAAGACTTAATTGTAAAGTGGATTAAAAATATTAAAAATTAAAATGCTTTTGAACAATTAATACCATTTTTTTTTAATATTATCAAAAGAGGAGAATCGTCTACATCATTTTTATAAATTATTAATTAATAAATAAAAGCTAATAGAGATTTGGAAAGTAAATATGGATATTTTAATTAAAAATCAATTTTTTAAATATTTTATAATAATGCCAATGAAGAATTGAAAGTGATGCTTCTAAAACTTATGAGTAAATAAAATCCAATTCCTTTATTATATCAGGCATCTTATAATCCATAAAATAGTTAGACTTAAAAATATACATTTAATTTCAATACATATTATGTTTTCTAATAAAATTATCCAATTATTAATTTTAGTTTAGATGAAAATCAATAAAGAATAGGTAAAACAGAGTTAATAAATACAATATTTTATTAGTAAAATAAATTTTAAATTAGTGATGACAATTATTTAAACAGATAAACAATAGATATTATGTATGATTTTGAATTTAGTGGATCTAGAAATTTATCTGTTGCAGATGCTCATAATTTTATTCCATTTGAAATTTTAAATGATATATTACCAATGTTTAAATTATGGATAATTTAATTAAATACAGAAGAAGAAATAGATAAAACCATTTAAAAATTAATATAATTAGAATCTTATAAAAAGAAATTGAAAGATCAAGTCATTTGTTTTCTGATTAGAAATTCAAAATAAGATTTAAATGAATAATAAATTCAATCATTAACATAATTTAATATTGAATATAAATAAGTTATTGATTTGACTGATAAAGGTTTAAATAATGAAGTGAAATTCGATGAAATTTAATAAGTATCTAAATTTTTATTTGAAATTATAAAATAATAGATAGAGAAAATATCACTAAACCAAGAATAATATTTTAAATTAATTTGTTAAATGAAATATTAAGATCTTCGTCCAACATAAGTGATGAAAGAAGCTTAGGAATTATTCGAAGAAATTGAACAGGAATTAAATAAATATATGCAAGATGAATAAGGTTTTTATAATTAAGCTGCTTTTCCAATAAGGAGTATTAATTGGTAAATTAAAAAAGAAAACGATAGATATATTAGATTATGGTAGGGTAATGATCAAAGAGATAAAGTTAGTTTAAATCAAATTAATAAAAATATATAAAATTTAAAAGATAGATTGAAATCATAATTATTTTCACAACTTGTTTTACTTTTTTGTAATATACTAAAAAAACCTAATTCTTATATTTTATACCTTCAGTTTGTTGATAATATAAGAAAGTTTAATGATAAAAACACTTATTTGCTTTAACATAAAATGTAGGAGTTAAATGAAAAAATTTAAAATTTAAAACAAATCAAAGAATCTATAAAGCCAAAAGAAAATACTTAAATAACTATAAATTTAAGGAAATAAAGAGATGAAATATAAGTTGATATTGATAAAAAAGTTAATGAATTAAAATAAATTTAAGAAGAAATCTCAAAAAAAAATATTGGGATAGAATTATTTTGGAGAGAAATAATGTGTAATGATTGTGAAATTAATATTGATATTGATCCTGCTAATATTGTTAAAGAGATGATTTCTAAAGGAGAACCTTTTGAATTTTTAGATGGTGATTAATTAAAAATTGATTAGTAATTTTTGATGAAACTTATAAAAAAATTTAAAGAATAAGGATAAGAGAAGATATTAGTCTTTAGTGTTTTAGGGCCATAAAGTTCAGGAAAATCAACAATATTAAATAAAATATTTGGGTGTCATTTTTGGACAAGTGTTGGTAGATGTACTAAAGGAATATATTTATAATTATTAAAAATACATAACAAATAATTCTTTAATAATTTATTTGATTACATAATAATATTAGATAGTGAAGGACTTCAAAGTCCAAGTTAAGAAGATTCAGAATTTGATAAGAAAATAGCTCTTTTTGTATTGTAAATAAGTGATATTATTTTATTAAATGTTAAAGGTGATTTAAATAAATAATTTAAATCATTAGTAGAAATGTGTATATTTACTTTAGGATAAATGAAATGCTTTACTAATTAAAAATAAATTACTTGGTGTTTTAATTAAAATAGTGACGTTAATAATCATGCACTTTTTTTAGAACAATTAAAATCAGTTGCTGAAAGCTTAAATACAGAATTTAGTTAATAAACTGAAGAAGATTAAGCTTTTAATTACAATGAAATCCTTGGAATTACTATCAATAATATAAAGATTTTAGGATTTGCATCAACTGAAAAATTATGGAGAAAAAATGAAAATAATGGAGTATTTTCAGATTGGAGATAATTAGCAATTAATGGAACATTTTCTGAAGAAGCATATGAATATGGAATTCGAGTAATTAAATTATATGTTGATAAATTTGGAAAGGCAAGATAAAATAATTAATAAGAAAATACTTAAATGGAAAATTTAAAATCATTTATTGAAAGGATTGATTTGACTTGGTACAGTATATAAAATTTACCTGATTTACTTGAATTTTCTGAATTAATACAACATTAATAAAATCTATTTATGAGATAATAATTCGATGAGTTAATTAATAAATATAAATTTCCTATTAAATTTGAATATATCAAAAAAATTGCTGATAAGGTCTTACAAAAAAATTAAAGGTTGACAATTGAAAAATTGAATGAATTATAAGAAGAATAAACAGCTGAGATGACTGTTGAATTTGATAAAATAGAAAAATAATTCTCAGAAAAATTAATTGCTATTAAAAATGAGAAAAAAATATCAAAAAAAGTATTTAAAAAATATGAAAAGATGCTCAAAGACAGAATAAATAGTGAAAAATCAGCATTTAGTTTGGCTATATGTGCTGAAATTGGGGCATAACAAACCAGAATATAAAAAAAAAATGGTTTTGTTAGATTAGAAAAGTTTATATTGGAATTAATAAGAAATGAAGATGAGTTAAAAAATTATAAAGAAGACGAAACAAAAATTGAAAAAACATTTAAATAAATTTGGAATTCAATCCTCAATTAACATATACAAGAATAAGAATAAATGTTTATATAGGTATGTGATAGACTATTCCTAGTAATCAATAAAGAGTTTTTACAATATTCTTTAAATTCAAATAATATAGATCTTTACAAAAATAAATATCATGAAGAAAAGCTACTTAAAAAATCTCCGTTAAGTGAAGATTACTTAAAATCATTTTAAATTTTACGTAGAGAATTGTAGACTTTATAATTCATGGTTATAGAGAATTAAAATAAAACCTATTAGTTTTATGAAAATTTTCTGTCAAATTTTAATAATAGATTAAAGAAATGCTAAACTTCATAAACTTCATAAATTTTATAAATAAAAACTTTTTATTAAAAGAGTATTATAATTAAATGGATAACTAAAGAATAAATTAAAAGATATATGGAAGATAATATGCATTCTGATATCATTTCTTACTATTAATAAAATGAAAGATAATAAAAGTAGGCTGTATAAAATTTTTTAGATTAATTTAAAATTTTTGGGTATGAGATTGTTGAAAGATGCGTTGATAAACTATTTAAATTAATATAAAGTTGGTGTAATTAATCTGAAAGGACATCATAGATTGTTTAATACTTTAGTTCTTCAAGATAGGTTACTTAAAATGACTTAAAATAATAGCTTTAATAATGTTTTTCACCTGGGTAAAGAAAATATTACAATCAAATTGAATATGGTTTATCAATTGATATCATCAGAAATTTAAGAGAATTTAATAATATTCAATAAAAAAAAGAAATCATATAAATATCTGATAATGATAATGAGTTAGAAAATTATATAAAAATATATAATTAAAATGATAAATTTATAATTTAAATAGAAGAATAAATCAATTTAAATAAAAATTTATTTATATATTAATAATTTAAATATGCTGAAGATGTTTTTAAATATATTTTGAATCAGAGAGAATATTAGCAATCAAATCAAGTATTTAGAAATAATGCTGCTAAATTAATTTAATTTTTAATGAATGAAAATGATTCGGAAGGCTGGAAATTAATGTATAGTTAAATTCATGGATTGGTATTTGAATTAATGATTGAAATAAAGAAAGGTTCTTTTATTGAATAAAATTAACAATTCAAAGTTAATTAATATAGTTTTAGTTTAATAAAAAGAATAATGTCAAAGATAGAAGAGAAAATAAAAGAATTTAATTTATAATTTTCAAATTTCGGTGTTATGCTGAATGATATAGGAGAGCGATGTCTATTTAATTATTCAATTTTTACAATTTGGAGTTTTTTATGTTAGGGATAATATTAATCAACTGAGTAAAATATTTAAGAATTATAAGATTAAACTAATGAACAATATTTGAAATTTAAAGCTGATATTTAATAAAATAAAAAAGAATAAAGTAAAATTAGAGGAATAACATCAGCTACAGATATAATAAATGTAGGAACAGAAAGATTATATGCTGAATTTTAAAGAATTGCATTTTAAATGATAGCTTAATACAATTAAGAATCAAGTTATGAAATAATTCAAAAATTAGACAAAGATATTCTTGAAAGGAGTGATTAAAATGTAACAGATAATTAGATTATTTAATATATTCGAAATCAAACTGTTTATATAGAGGAATATGTATAGGATAAAATAAACAATATTAAATAAGAAATAAAAACAAAATTAACAAGTGAATTAAGAAGTAATTTGAAATCTCTTTTAAAAAGAGTAGATTAAAACACAAAGAATTTATGTGATTTTGTTATTAGAGATCTAAAAGCGGAAGATTATTTTAAATAATTTAGAAATCGTAAAGAAGCTCCAACATTAATGTATTAAATAGTTATGAGTTGTCTTTAAGGATAGATTAGAAATGAGCAATTAGAGTAAATACAAGAAGATAAAAGAGATGCATTTTAAACTTAAGATTTTCATATTTTTGATGTTCCTTTATGTACAACAACTTAAGAAACTGATGCTGAAATATAAATATTATCAGATTTTGTTAATGCATTTATAAATAAAATAAGAGAAGGAATTAAAAATTTAGATTAGATAGAAATAGATTTTGAAAAGTTAAAAGTACAAGCTGAATTAGATTAATTAAAACTTAAATAAATTGGATGTTTAGAATATTGTCCAATTTGTAAAAGAAAATGTGATGAACCAGTTGAAGATAATAAACATTAGCATTAATGTAAAAATGGGCATCAATTAAGAGGTAATATATAATAATAATATATTAGGAATGAGTGGAGTATTAATTGGATGTTAGCCATCATTATACACTTGTGAAGAAATATAAGATGATTTTTAAATTATAGAATTAGAAACTTAACAAACTAAAAAATGGAAATAAATAAAATAAATTTATAATGATTGGTAGTTTTCTTGTTTAAGTAAAGAGTCTTTACAAAATTTTAAATAAAAATTCATGAATATATGGAATGATAAGATAGGTAAAATGATTTGCAAAAAGCTTACAGAATAAATTGGAAAAGATATATTTTATATTCCAAAATAAGAAGTTTAGCTAGGATAAAATTAAGGATTATAAAAGTCTGCTCATTATATTATTATGCTTGATGATTCTGGCTCCATGGCAGTAGAAAACCGTTTTGAAAATGCTAGAAAGGGTTTACTTGCTTTTCTTTATGAGATTAAGAAAAATCCTAATGCAAGGGTTACCATTATGATTTTCAATCATTAAGCAAGATAGGTAGTGAATTGTTAAATTCCTGATCCTTTAACTTAAGAATCATTAATAACTTTGTAAGGTGGAGGTACTGATTTTGATTAAGCCTTTACACTTGCACATAACATAATCTCATCTAATTCTAATTTTCATAGCTTCGAAACGTAAATGTTTTAATTTTATAATTAGTCATTCAATATTGTTTTACACTGATGGAGGCTCTAGTTATCCTACAGCAGCATTAGAAAAATTCAAATAATTAAGTGTAGACAAAAGATAAAAAATAGAATTAATTGTTTTAACTGAAGAGGATAATCCACCTACGCTAATTAAAGTTGTTGATTAGTTTAAATAATAATTTTTATTTGCGAAATTGCAAACATCAATGACACCTTAACAAATAGGAGAAGTATTTATTGAAGAAGTTACCAAAATCACTCATTAAATAAGAAATTGTTGAATTATCATAATTTATAAAAACATTAAATAATTTATATTAATATCAAAATTTTATTCTAATATATTTATCTCACTTTCACAAACTTTCCTAAATAATTCAAATCTAATTCTTATTTTACTTTTTTTTCACAAATACTAGATTTTTCATCATTTATTCAATTTTAATATTTAATTAATCATTTTTCTAAATCTCCTTAATTTTATATTCAATAAAAGATTATTCAGAACAATATGAATATCTATCTTTAAGAAATCAATTAATTTTATTGTGAAAACTTATTATACCAGTATTTAAATTCTTCAAGATTAAAATGTAATTTTCTAGATTAGCTTAGAAAAATTTTTATAATTAAGTTAATTAATATAATATAAATAATTCTTTTATGTAACTTAGATTAAAGTTTTAAAGAACAATTTTATGAATAAAACACAATTGCGTTAAAATATGTTGGTGGGAACTAAATAATTTTCATGTTTTAGTAAATATTAGATTAACTTATTTTATTTTTTATTAATAATTTATTAGTAAGATAATTTGTAAATCCAAGTATTCAATATAAATTAAATTAGTTAATATATATATTTTGAAAAAGTTCTCAATTTAATCTTAATTTTGGAATTAGCTAAATTTCTTCAAATTAAAATACATTATAGAAATTATTGGTAACGAAAATGCATTTAAAATTTTGATAGCAAAGGATATTTAAGTTCAATTGTCATATTTTAAGTATTTT